GTCCCGTGTCCTGGGCTATGCAGTGAATACAGGAAGAAGGTCCTGTGTCCTGGGCTATGCAGTGAATACAGGAAGAAGGTCCTGTGTCCTGGGCTATGCAGTGAATACAGGAAGAAGGTCCTGTGTCCTGGGCTATGCAGCTGAACATCTCTTAATCGTATAAACTGTTGCCTCAGTTTCTTTTCACATGGCACTGTTCAGGCAAACCCTCTATCCTTCAGCCATTGACTGAACATTTTAAAAACTTGCATGTTCTGTAAGTAAGTCTGCTTGGAAATGAATGAATCGAAGAGCTTAATGATGCCAGGTGTGTGGGAAAAATGGATGTCAAAGAATTGGCTCAATTTGACTAAAATCCTCCTGATGTATGTTTAGCTGGATATCAGGTTAATGACTGTGTATGTCTAGTCTTCTCCAAAGGGGAATGTTTGACAGAGATCAAAAACCGTGTTTTTCTGTGATCTTACAGAAAAACGACTGGACACGGTCACAAGCGCAGTGTCAGAGTGAAGTCTTTTTAGAAGTTCCAATGGACCTGCTAAATGCTGTAAAACATGGATTAGCGGGGGGGGGGGTGCATCTGCAAAATAAAACCTGCTTTGTTTAACATCGAGGCACAAAAAAAGATAACACTCCTGTTCTCTGTGTCACACACACATTCAAATGCTAGCATGTGCAAAAGGCAAAAGAAAAAATGCAGAAATTCACATACTAAAGGTGTAAAGGTGGACACAGACAGAACAAAAATACTATAGTAAGTGCTCTTTCAGAAAATACCCTTTATTATACAGAGAGTACATACAGGAAGCCATCCTGTCCAGGGTGTACCCCGGTGCCTCTCCCATAACCCGAACCAGGATGGATAGATGGAGGGATGGATGGATGGATGGATGGACGGATGAAGGAAGTCTTACAGAAAGGAATTTCATCAGAGCATCTCTTTTTATTCATAAACATTTTTCCATGTCAATGGAAAAATAAGGGAAATCTCAGTAGCATGTACAGGCGTGTAGCATGCATGTAAAGCGTGACTATGCCAGGCGTGTAGCATGTGTGTAAAACATGACCATGCCAGGCGTGTAGTGTATGTGTAAAGTGTGACTATGCCAGGCATGTAGTGTGTGTGTAAAGCGTGACCATGCCAGGCGTGTAGCGTGTGTGTAACGCATGACTATGCCAGCACTGACTAGTTAAGGCTCGACATACTACAAAGGAACTTATATCTCACAAGGAACATCAGTGGCAGCTGATCATTGCTGACTTGAAACATACATTTCCCAGGTGGGTGGTCTCCCTCAGCCCAGTTTACCCAGGGCACAGTGCAGGATCTTCAGGTCCTCCCTCATCTGCTTCAAGGCCTCCTGGATCTTTCTGGGCTGGTCAAGAACCTCCACGGTGCAAGTGAATGGGTCGTAGCGGACGGAGAAGGCCTTGCGGATTGTCGCCGAGTACTGACTGCAGGACAAACAGTGGCATGCAGCAGGGTCTGGCTTAGTTAGCAGACACATTTGTGCATGCTCACAGGTTTAGGAGCCCCCTGTTGGCCACTAACTCTTACTACACTGGGGAGGGGGTGGGGGGCAGGAGGCCCTGAACTGACTTTTCCAGAAACAACAAACCTGTCCCTGCTTGCATGTATGCATGTTTTCACTGGACAGGGTATCATGTGCATCTTATCATAAACACACTAAGATGTTTAGCTACAGGATTTGCATACAAACACACATACATACATAGAAAATATGGCAAAACACACCCAATCACACAGGCTTAGGCGCTTTTAGCGGAGGTGTAGGGGGTGAAATTGCACCCCCTCCTGCCAAATGAAAATGCTATTTGAACATATTAAGTTCAATACACAGACGCTCCTCTACTTACGAACTTTCAACTTACGAACGGCCGTTCAGAATGTATCTCGTTTGTAAGTAGAGGAGTGTCTGTAATTAAATTACATTGTAAAGTTATATTTGAAAATGTGGCTCGTGTTATTCATAGCATTGTGTAATAATAATTTATTGCAAAAGTATTATTTTATTACAAATGTATTTATCGAGTTGAATGACTGGTTGTGCTTGCTGACTTTGCACCCCCTGGGAGAAAAGACTACAGTCGCCTGTGCACACAGGTGTCCATCTGTCCTTACCGGAGCTTCATCTTGGCATCCTCGAAGCTCTCTGACACAAAGTAGACGGGCTGGTATGTCTGGTCCTGGTACGGCTGGACTGCACACTCCTCGGGCGTAAAGGGCCTGTACTCTGGCTCATTGGAGAGGGCGTACTGTGGAAGAGGCTGCTAGTCAGGGGGGCGGCGGGGAGGACCTCTGACTTTTTTAACCGATGCCTTTATCTAAAGCAACATATATTTTGCAAAATCAGGGTCAGACAGTCCCTGGAGCAATTTGCAGTTAAGGGCCTCGCTCAAGAGCCCATTGGTGACATCAATCGGCCGGCCCCGGGATTTGAACCAACAACCTTCTGGTCACAAACACAGCATCCTGACCCATTAAGCCACACACTTTCATAAATGGACTAAGACTCGATAAACTCACCGATAAGTTTGTCAGTAAGACCACCATAGCTAATTCTGCTGAACAATACGTCTTAAATTAGCCAGAGGCCAGGGGTGGGGAACCTGATCCATGGAGAGCCGGTGTGAGTGCAGGTTTTTGGGATGACCTCTCAATCAGCCAATAACAGAGCGTCATGGATCAGGTTCTCCACCCCTGCCATAGGCTATACAGGAGATTTTTAGTGCCAGGGCTGCCCATTGGCAGAAAAAGACAAGCACACACTGCATGTTAATGATGTGATAGATGTAGGTGTCTCACCACGAGCTCCCCGTAGGAGGACAGAAGGCCGGCTCCAAACGCCTTTATAGCCCCATTCTGTTTGCAGAGGCCAAACTCCACCGTGAACCAGTACAGCTGGGAGGCAGAAGTACAGCAAATCGCACCACCATGAAAATGACGCCATCGGACGCATCCAAGGCAGAAATGCAAAAATGCACATACAAAACAACATATTATACTGCGTGAAGACCATGGACACACACGGATGACGGCAGGATGAAGCAGGGACACGGAGGGAAAGCACTAAATGTCAGGTCCTCTCCGATATGGAGGACTGTCTCCCTGGGCATACTTTATGAACCCATTGTAGCCCATTGTCATGTTCTTCACTTTTTTCCCTGGAGCTACCGGGGGGGGGGGGGACATAATATCACCTCTTTGTGAGCAGTATTGAGGAAGTGAAAAATTGTGTCCAAACTGTTCTACTTCTGAATGAGGCCCATCCTTCAAGGGGCTTGAGGAGCACCCTCAGCCAGCAGCTCATCTCCTGGAAATGCACAGCTGAGGTCTTCAGCTGCTTCTTTTTTCAATGCTCTCAGTCCACCACACCCCCATCCCCCAGGCTTGGAGGACCGTTACAATGCATTATGTAATAACTCAACAAAAGCTTACAAATAGACAGACTACATCATAATTTTATATTGCTACATTACCCTATTATTATTATTGTTATTATTATTATTATTCGATTAGTTACATTCTGTTGAGTTCTTACAAAATGGAGCATTATTACATAATGCCTTGTTGAAAGGACGCTAACCAAACTCTCTTTCTGTATTGCTGCACCTGCCCTGGGTTACACCCCTTCAATGTTTTCAGCTTTTTTCAGGGGGGAATGAAACAGGGGGTACTTATTTATGTTGCCTTATACGTCCAGGACTGGACATTCCTCTCACAGATCAAAGACAGGCAGCTAAGTTAATTGATAAGTGCCCACTGCTGATGTATTCTGTATGTGGGTGCATGTATGTACGCGCTCTGTGAAGGACACGACAGGATGCCAGTCCATTGCAGGGCACACACACACTATTTATAGATGCCAATTAGCATAAATGCATGGAGCAAACTCACATGGATTGATAAGAAAATGCCAACTCTAAACACAAAGCTGAGGCTGATTCAATCTGCTACCTGCTAATCCATTATGTCACCACCGTACTAAGTGCTTACTGGTTGTTAATTATTATTACTTACTATTGTTATGGGAGTTATTTATTCTATTATGCTGCTGGACAATCAAAATCACCCCCCCCTCCCCCCCCATCCCAGGGATCAATAGAAACCTTCACGTCTTTTAAGTATAAACCAGAAAGCAACTTTACTGGACGTTACTCTAGTACTGGCACTAGAGGGCAGTAACAAGTACTGTTTGTCTGTCTAATAAGCTCCTATGGTTTTACCAAGCCTCACACAAATCCGCTAAACCAGGGCTCCACCATTCCGGTCCTGGAGGGCCAGTCTGCAACACAGTCTGCAGATTTCCCTGCTGAAAGAAACACACCTACTAAAACTGGTAATTAGCCGGTGTCTGAGCAAGAAAATCTGCACAATGTGAGACAGACCGGCCCTCCAGGACCAGAATGGGGGAGCCCTGCTCTAAACAGTCCATTGTTCGCCTATACGGAATCCACCACTGCCAATATCTGTTAGAAAACTATATGACTCACTGTTGACAGTTTTTCAATGTCCTCATCAGAAGCTCCCAAAGAAGCAAGACCAATTTCCTGGGAAAGAAAAAAAAACAATGAGCTGAATCTCAAAGTTACTTTTTTCCAACATGCATAACATTCATTACCACTGAAATCTTCAATTAGTATATAAATATTTCACCTGGGAAAACTGAGCAAATTCTTTATCAGCCAACATGGGGACGTGGCCTAATAACTCATGACAGCAATCTCTGCGGACAGAAAACAGCGTCTTATAGCAACGATTAGCAAGGGCAATTGCAGGGGTGGAGATTTCAGGTCCATAGAAAGCAAATGCTGACCATGATTTTGTTTCAACCAACCAGCTGAGTTATAAAGAGCCACAGTCGCAGAGTTGGTAGAAACAAAATCTTGGTCATTATTTGTACTCTCTGGACCTGAAATCTCCACCTCTGCAATTACAAAAAGGCAGATTAGACAGAGTACAGACATAACGCTTGAGCAAACTAAACTATACTAACTACTTGTATTTTTTTAACATGCCACCACTGCTTATAATAATTACAATAATAATAAGAGTAAACATACGGTTCCGGGGAGTGCATCGGGGTGGATGAATGGCGGATGTACTGCGTGCACTGAAACACTCTGAACGCCAGGCTGGCCAGGAAATCTCTGGCAGACAGCAGACCAGCAACTGGCCGGAGCTGGAACCCCGTCCTCTCTGCGGAGACATCATAAACCTGAGACCACGAGCAATGACATGATCACAAAGAGACGCAAATTCGGGATGCTGAAAAAAAAAAAAACACTTCGGAATTGCATACAATGACTGTGTAGCTACATCATCTGGTCATCTGGTTATTATGCAAAGTCACACTTCCTAATAAAATGGGCATCACTAAATGATATGGGAAATTATTATAACAAGAAAATCAAAATTACTGGTTGATAGTCAGTATAGGTGAAGTCAAAGGGCATAACTTTGGGTTGAGCATTGGCGGGCTGAGGTCTCTACCCATTTAAGGGGTCCATAGGGTTGTATCGGCTGGTTATGATTATTGGGGGGGATTAGATCCCACCGTCATTTATGCCCACGGGTGAGGATCCTGTGAAATGACCGACTAAATAGGGCGGCTACTTCAAGCACAGTAGAGGTCTTGGAGATACTGAAATCTTCCTGTAGCTGGGAAGTGCCCAAGTCCAGCGTCGAGTTCTCGATCCCGAGTGGGGTGAGGGTACCTCTGAGGAAGTTGGAAACGTCCCTCAGCTGGGGAATGCTGCTCTCTCCATATCCACACTGCTTCTCTAGCTCCTGCAGGTTCTCCAGGTGCTGTCTGCACGCGTGCGTGGGGTAAATGCTGCTCAGAGTGCGGTATACCTCCTTCCTGTCGAGAAGCATCATTGTCACCAGCATCACGTCATAAATACTGAATAATATTCATATCATTATCATCAGTGTTTTAACCGCTACAATTGTCATTATTGTCATTACAATTTTGATAATTGAGGTCAGGGGCATAGGAACCAGGTGGGTTGGGGGTGGGGGGGCATATACCACCAATTTTTAAATTAGCTTCATTTATCTCCTAAAAACCCTAATATCAATATCCCCGACACCATTAGTGGGCATCATCAAAATCATCATCATCACCAATATTGTGATCAGTTTAATCGTTATTAATATGATTATCATTGCCAATAATGACTGTCACTATCATTGTTATAATGATTGTTTTCATTTTGGTCATCATCAGAATTACCATCATTGGCATAATCGTCATCATCATCATCTCATTAGCATTAGCAACATCTTGTTAGACCTAACCATGATAATACGAAAACGGACCAAGTGGCGACTTCCTCTGGAGTGTACTCCACCCTGGGTAACGGCTCTCCCCTAAATATAAGGAGTAAATTATGTGAAACACCGAACAAACAAACAACATATAGATAAATAGCAATTAAGCAATACATGGCGACGATGCCGCTAACAATTATACGATTTCAATTGTAAACTGCGGTTTAAAGACAGAGTCTCCAAATTTAATAGAATTCATCGGTAAAAAAAAATAAAACACAGTATGGCTATTTTTTATGAATTTGCAGTTAGGTTATAGTTTATGTAGGCTAGATTTCGCGCATTAAAACCAATCCTAACGCAAACTTACTGTTTGTAGGAAAAAGCAAGTTCAGAAATGGCGGTCCTTCTTTTTCTGTATTCTGGATCGTTATAACCCTGTTTTCAAGAAGAAGAAGAAAAAAAAACGTGTTTACAACAGAAATAATTAGGAATTTAATAGCCTATTAGTTCTCCAAAAATTCTAAAGGTTTAGCATCAATGAATTAATAATATATGTTTATTTATCAAATTTTAAACGGTTAGATATACGTACAGGGTGCTCATGGTCTAGATCCGGATCATATTTTGTAATTAAGTGATTACATTTATCAAGATCCCAAATCTTCCGTGGAAACCAGGGAACTAAAGAACAAAAAAAAACATGCAAATTAAAATATATTTGAAAATCTAAGTGGAACGTGTACTGAAATTATTTGTAGCATAAATGAACAAAAGTGCTTAAACAATGATTGTGACTATAATAATAATAATAATAATAATAATAATAATAATAATAATAATAATAATAATAGTCAAATATATACGTATAAATACCATTTTCCTCCGCTATCGTGCGCACGTCGTCTGCGACTTTTTTCAGGGAGTTTATTAAGACATCCGTGTCGGAACTGTGAACTTCACACCTCACGAAGAATTCCAGGTCCTCCACGTTCTTCGACTTTATAGCAGGGCGAGTTTCGATGTGATGAATGTTGGCTCCAAATGTCTAAAGAAAAAACGGACAAAAAATGCACATTTTGGCCATTAAAAATGTTCGATCCCTATAACATCTGATGCGGCCGTTGTACAGCTCTGGACGCAGATAAAATGCCAAGTTATCTCATATACCTCGAAAACCTTGGTGGTCTTGGACAGGCCCGCATTTTTCTCGTGACTGAGAGCGAAAAGGATGCTGAGGGTCACCTTGCCGTCCTTTTCCTCGAACACAAAGTTGTCTGCGCAGCGCGAGGGTCCCGGGGAGGGGGCGCCGCTCTCGCGCTCTTTCCGGGCGTCTTCTATAAGGCTCCGTTTTCTACTGGAAAACGGAACGTTTTGAACGCCACTTTCGGTCTTCATCGAGTTTCTGCTGCTGCTGAAACTTTTAAAATTCGCTATAAATATAACACAAAATAATAAATGCAACGATGACAAGCAGACTCAGTGGTGATAGTCAGATATACCTTAACTGCATAAAACACGAAATAAGAGAAAGCTTTTATTTTATGCCTTTACAAACGTCTGTCCAAAATAAAATAACTTGTTGCTTGTTAGTCCCTCTACTTAGATTGCTGATATTTATTCGGTCCTCTTAGCTATATATGTAAATGAATTACGTAAATTACGCGTGATTTACAGGTTAAGTGCGTCATTATATTGTACGACACAGCGCTGCCTCACAGCTTTGATTTAAATTAAAATAATCCTTTGATAGAATGGCACTAGCCGAGGCCTAGTTTGAATTTATGGAAAAGCAAACTCAATAAATTTCAGCAGTATAATATTGTCTTTTCGCGCTCACTTCATGCTGGGAGGTTATATTATTTATTTAGAATTGATACAGGCTCGTATTAGGATACATTTTTAAATTGCATTTGTTTTCATATCTCTGCATGGTCTTACATTTTTGACCTCTTGCAACCTTATCACCCACGCAGACTACTGAGATCAGCGGACCATCTACATCTAGCAGTTCCGAAATCTAAAAAGAAGTGATCGGGCGTTTGTAGTCATTTCCCCCAAACTCTGGAATGAATTACCCCTCCATGTAAGGCAGCCCCCACGTTGTCATCGTTTAAATCTCACCTCAGAACACATTTTTATTCCTTTGCTTTTAATTCAGTTTGAGAGCCTTCTCGTTTTCCATTTAAGAATTGTCCAATTATAAATTTCGTTTAATAATTACTCATTTATATCTCCAGATTTAATTTTCTATGTTTATTTCAACTCCATTTTATTTGACCCCGCTTAGATCCCAGTTAATTGCTCTTGTCGCCGAGGTTATTTTTTATCGGGCCACATCCTTATTTTTATGTTCAATGCATTTGTATCTTATTGTCGTGTTGGTATGTGACTCACGAATCGTATTGTTGAGCATTTTGGTCGACTGCGGTTGCTTTAAACGTGCTTTATAAATGAACTTGAAGTTGAATTTGAACTTGAATAAATACATATGTGAAATAAATACATATAGGCCAAACGATACCCCTGAATAAATGGAAGAAGCCTTGTAACTGAATGCAACAGACATTTCAATGAATTGGTCCTTGGTATATGAGCATATTAGCCCCGAACGGACTTACCTGGTTTCTGTGGTTCTGAAACTGTTCCAAATTTCCATATGGCGCATTAAACGGTGACTTTTCCAAATTTCAATTTCAGTATATGTATGGTTTATACTACTAAAGCACCGTCAACATCCTTTAATAATTTTGTCGCTAATTTATCTCCATAAAAGCAACACCATTTTAACATAACTCACTATTGTTATTAAGAATTGCTAATCACCAAACATGAGACCCACCTAAAATGTAACTTTATAAAATGGGCATATATTTCAGTGTGAAGTGTTAATTTTTAGAAATCAGGATGGAAAAGTCCACAAAGATTATATTTCGAAAATTTTTATTATATGTCATTACATTTTATGCAAGTATTATACAAGGTATAAAGATTTGTGATTAAAAACATAAACCTCCCATTTGGAAACCAATTTAATGCAATTATCATCTGAAACACTAGAAATCAAATATTTAAAATCTTCCATTGTTGCTTTCACCCAAATACCAAATATCCCCAAATTATATATATGCCATTTTATGGAAACGATGGGGAAGACATTCTAAAAAGCCTACAATGATATATAAAATTTCTGTTTTTCTGGAACTCTGATATCAGAATTGGCCGGTTTGTAACTGAACATGAAGGGTATTCAAACGAACGGTTTGTGCTGCATAATCTAACTGCTATAAAATCGTCGACTGAGTTATAGACAAGCCTACATCACACCAAAAGCATAATTTCACGATGAAACAGAGTACCTCCGAGCCATCATACCTGATAGCTCTGTCTCGAGCACCCTAAGGATCTAAAGGGACCTCGGCTGGATTTACAAAATTACTGCTATTATGTCCCAGAACAACCACACTGTCACCTGCGCGCGAAGAAAATGTGAATCAATTCGAATTAAATGCAAATAGCAACATTGCACTATTTTAAAGTCGTTGCAGACAAGAGGCGAAAATGTTCAGATGTTATCAGCGATTATTCACTTTTGATCCATATTTTTTACTGAAAAAGTATAAATGCCACGTTGCTTGCTGACTGGTATTATATTTTTAACCCTGTGTTTTCCAAAATAGCTATCCCAATAAATGATATTGCATTTAATATAAAATGAAATAATATACCATGCATTAGATTGCAATCTTATACAAAATTTAAAATAATGTGTTGCGTATTATACTGGTATTTCTAATTATTTCCGTTACAGAATTTAAGGGCATAATAGTAAAGTTAAGAGAGGAACTAATAAAATTTCTTTATAGGTTACCTAAGACGTGTAAGCTATATAACGTCGGCTAAAGTGCAGATTCACGAAACAGCTCTGCAGGTCAGTTTGTCCAGCGTTATAGCGATTGACAGATAAGCAGTAGGTTGAGTGCTGCAGAGATCGATATTCCACAATCGGAGATCTGCTGAGAGATGTCACGGAAATATTCATTTCATTTTGCGCAAGGCATTACACAGGATCCCCATCTCACCTGAAACGAGAAAAGGGCAAGTATTTTACGGACATTTCCAAAAAGGCAATGACAATATTAACAATACAAATAATAATAATAATAATAATTATAATAATAATAATAATAATAATAACAACAACAACAAGAAAATTATAGTAATAGGACTAATAATTATAATCGTATTCTATTCCCTGTGGTTTATTTTTTAATTAATCAGATTGTGGATATTTATTTGGCTGGCGTTCGCTGCGTGCGCACCGCTGATGCTCTCCGAAAGATTGCGGAGCTGCTGCGTGCTGTCCAGCACCTCGATACTCTGGGTGTAAGGGTTGTATCGCAGCGAAAAGGGCTTGGGTATGGTCGCGGCGAACTTCCTGCGGGAGCACCGGAAGACACAAAAGGTGAAGAGAGTAATGAAAGGTGAAGAGGTGGACGGTTATATAAATTTCTATGTAGGGTGACCATATTTTGCTTTGCGAAAAAGAGCGCAAAGCGCGTCGAAGCAATGCGACAGCTTATTAGTACGAATGACTATAGCTATAATTGTCCAATTTGTACTGCACAAATTTAAAGCGCAAATATATACCTGACTTTCTCCTTGGCGTCCTCGAAGCTCTCAGCCACAAAGTACAATGGCTGGAACTCGGTGATGGGATATTTCTGAACGCACGTCTTCTCCGGTTCAAATGGGTACAGTTGAGGCTTCTCCGTCAAGCAGTACTGATCGATGAAGCACATGTATACTTTATTTTGCGATTCAATTTACAAAACCTTTCAACGTTTTTTGCATATTACAAAGCTAGATTACCGTAATTTCTATGCTACGTGACCGTTTTCCTTATCACAATCTGACACACAACTGAGTCAGTTAGCTTCACTGAGAATTTACTTTTGAGTGGCAACAAGTCTTCTCAAATTCCTCCTGCATCTAACATTTTGTTTCTCTGAACAGAAAGGGTCAGTTAGGTTATGTCAGTAGACTCCATCCTCCATATTCGTCTCGACACCATCAGTGCGATGTATCCCATCCTCGTCACACAGTCTTGGCGCAAAGACCCGAGATACTGAACACAGTAGCCTGCAAGCCCAGCCTGCACCACAATGAGACCAAACCCACACTTCTGACCCCGACAGCCAGCGCTCACCTGTAGCTCTCCAAACGACGACAGCAGTCCGGCCCCGTAGGCCTTGATCTCGGAACCCTGCTTGCACAGGCCAAACTCCACTGTGAACCAGTACACCTGTGGGTCGAGGCAGACAGTGAGGAGCAGGGAAGCTCTGGTGGAGGAAGATGTTAAAGGTCATTCATACTCACAGTCGCAAGCTTTTCAATGTACTCATCAGGAGCTCCCAGAGAGGCAAGACCAATTTCCTGCAGAGGTGGAAATCAGAAACTCCTTCAGATGCTGTTAAAGTGATGGGGTCTTCAGCGATGGTGTTCTGTATCGATTGTATACCTCAGTGACATGAAGTAGTGATGGTATAGTCATGCTGATCTATATCGACTGTTTTCTATGCTGGTGGCGCACTGATTTAGAATTTAGTGATTAATTGTCATTGTTGACACACCACAGCACACAACAATGAAATGTGTCCTCTGCATTTAACCCATATGTGACAATGTGACATAGCAGGGGGCAGCTAATTCAGCGCCCGGGGAGCAGTGCTTGGGGGCGGTACCTTGCTCAGGATACCTCAGTGGTGCCTTGTTGGTCGGGGATTCGTACCTGCAATCTTTCAATTACAAGTGCACTTCCCTAACCATTAAGCCACCACTGCCCAAAAACTTTGTTCCTTCGAGCCGGAATTGAACCAGCGACCTAAGGATGACAGTGTCTCCCTCTACAGTCCTCCGCTCTACCAACTGAGCTATCGAAGGATATACATGATGTCATTCAATATGAAACATAGATTTAGTGTCTATAGTAGAAGTGCTCTATACCAGTGATTCCCAACCCAGTCGTCAGGGACCAATAGAAGGTCCACGTTCTTGCTTGTCTGCAGGTCCCCAAGGATCGGATTGGGAAACACTGCCTGCTCTACACCGACCCTTATTCATGGCGATTGTGCATATAGTTCTGCTTATTATACCTGTGAGAACTGGGCAAAACTAGGGTCGGCAAACAGGGGGACATGTCCCAAGAGCTCGTGACAGATGTCGCTGTGGAGAGAGAAGCACGTTTGGGTCAAAGCTCTCATGCTCTTTTTTTCATGGCACAAACAAGTGTAGCTTTATACTACATGTGAAACATTTCCCCATCTATCCAAAGTCTAATGGATTGGCACAATGTACAGTACTATTATCAACATTGCATTGTATGCATGTGCAATTGTCACATGCCAAAGACCACGACAGTCAGCTGATTTGAGGCCATCAATAAATTACACTGAAACATTTTCAATCTGCCATACAAAACAAAACTTGGCAAGCTCTGCAATTTTAATGATTGTTCCTTTTCAAGATTACGTAGTTAAAAAATCAGTGTAAAATTTACTCGCACTGCTTTCACATGAGGTGTGCATGTACTCTCCCAAGCCAATGAAAATCATTTTAGTCCTTGCTGTAAGACTCACTGGGAATCCAGAGAAAATACTACCAAAAGCAAGTGATTCGTGAGCACTACTCTGTGTCTGTTGCAACACCACCAGAGACACTATTTGGCTACATTTAGAATGAATTTCAACTCCTTTTTTGTCTTATGTATCTTCATTTCTTGATATATGAACATGTGGATATGTTGTCTTATACACATTGTGACAAAAAATTTCAAATATTGCAATGTAGATTTTTTTCCCAATATTGTGCTGCCTTATAGTTCACCCTAAAGTTGTTCTTAGGTTCTATGGTCTGGTGTAGTGTGAGACATTAGTCCTGACATAAATGGACCAGCAAGACAGTGGAGATACTCACGGCTCCGGGGTGTACATGGGCTTGGACGAGTGGCGGATGTACTGCGTGGAATGGAAGACTCGGAATGCCAGGCCGGCGAGAAAGTCACGGGACGAGAGGAGCCCGGCCACGGGGCGGAGCCGAAATCCTGTGCATGCTGGGTGATGGAGAGAGGGATTATGGGTATGAGCGCGTTTGTTTATGGGTGGCACAAAATTCAACACAAGATCCAGCATGACATGACATGGAAGCCGGAAGCTTCCGGTTCCCCTACACTGCAGGAAGTTGGAGACGTCTTCCAGCTGCGGGATGTTGTCCTGCCTGTACCCGCAGTACTTCTCCAGCAGGGGGAAGACGCGGTTGTGCTCCCGGCAGGCGTGTGTTGGGTACAGGGTCTTCAGCTCCTTGAACACCTTCCCCCATGTGTCCTTCTCCTCCTCCGTGTACTCCACCTTGGGGATCACCTGACCACTGCACACAGATAGAAGGGCATGGCTAGAAATTCTGGCCCCTAACAAAATGTCCCCCCCCCCCCCCCCCCCCCCTAGGATTTCAGGATTAAGATATACAAGTCCACCATGGTAGATAAATAATAATTTATCGTTTTCAGGGGCCCCAGTAGAGTGCCGGGCCCCCAGAATCTGCCAGGGTGTCCACACACACACACAGACACACATTTGTAATCATACATTTGTGGGGACTCTCCATTAATTTCTAAGGCCATAACCCTAATCCCAACTATGACAACCCTAACCCTACCCAGCCCTAAGCATAAGTAACCAAACAAAATATAAGTCTTTTAGCATTTTTAGTTTTTTGATTGCAGATTGAATTTCTCCTTGTGGGGGGTGAAAAAATGGTCCCCACAATGTCAAAATAATAGGTTTTTATCACATTGTGGGGACATTTGGTACACAGAGACATCAGTTACACATGGACACACAGTCTCATAATTACACACACAGTACACAACAGCACGCACACGCAAACACCTTTGCAGTGGGCGAGGCCTAGGTAGGGAACACTTTATTATTCTATTAAGTGGCGGAAGAGGCCCACTGCTATGTAAATGTGCAGTGCAGTGCTTCAGTGCCGCTTTGTACTGACGCAGCATAATACCCCGCCATTATGATAACAAAGCCCGTAGCATTAAACCCCCCCCCCCACACACACACACACACTATCTGCAATTTGTCCTCCTTTTGTTTAGGGGGGGTAATTTTTGATAAGCAGGCTCAGCCGAGCGTGAAAGTGAATGGTTGAGGGGGGATCGTTGAGGGGGGGGTGCCTAGGGATGAAAGATCAAACAGCAATGATCGCTTCTCAACCCCTGTGTGGACATCAATGGGGGGGGAAAGAGGGAGGAAACAGAAGAAGGAGACAAAAAGAGCACGGTTCCCATAGTCTGACTCGGGTTTGATAGTTACTGTCTGTAGTTATAGGCGATGTCGGCAAACTCTTTCCTCCTGGCTCTGTATACGGGGTCTGTAAAGCCCTGAAATTCAGACAAAAGCAATCAATGCCCACTATCGTTATCCATACCTGCACACCTCCAGCAAACCGGCAAACCCCCTGTCATTTGATAAGACAGAATTGTGTGTCTCCCGTCAGCATGGGAGAGATGAAACGCATTGAAAAGGGGACCTTTGTGGTGCCTCTCCTGCCTGTGTTGAATGATTTTTTTTCTGTTTAGCAACGGTGGGAACGGGAGCAATCATCTTTAATTATAGGGTCGTGATTAAAGTAATGGCATCAATTTGCACGCTTGTTAACATAAGAATGGAGAGCGGGCGAAGGGCTGTGATCGTAGCGTGAGTCACGCAACATGCAACGCGACACCCTCACCGAACAGCGGTGGGGTGCCTGTAGAGGTGGGTGCGAGCAACAGGAAGTCACGGAACGCCCAACAGGAAGTACCCTTCAGCTGCTGCCCACCCGAAGCCTGCCTTGTGAATGTGACTGTCACCTCTCCACTGGTGCCTAAGATCCAGTTGTCATTAGTGTCTTTCGAAGCACAATTATGGGAAGGCAATTAGATAAAATGATTAAGGCAGCCGAAAGCTACAGAGAAATGGAGAACATTCTCAACTTCAGGATCCTGCCTCATTAAATTAACTTTGATCCCCTAGGTTTTAGAGTTATTTAGCGATCTATCACCACCAGATACACCAGCAATTACGAGATGAGGCTAAGATTTACCCTATGGTTTGCACACTCCTTGGTATTGTATACAAATCAGGTAAACACTTTAAATTTGTAAGGGGTTTTGGGGACCGAAAATGCAATCTAGCATCCTCTTCCTTACAGGATGATCAGCGTCGAGCTCCGAACCGTAGCTCAGGATCTGATTGGCGAAACGGTCCAGGTCATGGATGGTAACGGGGAACCAGGGCACTGGAAAGACAGAGGATACAGCATTCCTGAGTTTCACACTGCCGGTGTAATAACATCATCGTTTATGATGAAACGTCGTACACTCAGGCTTCAGGATGAAAATAAATGGATTGAGAAATGCTTAAATAAGTTAGTCCAGAAGAGGTCAGTGTTGCACAAGTGATGCTGTTTAACTACGATGTTACTATACAGTTTCCTTACGTAAACATATTTACCCATCTGGTTCTCAGCCCCACACCTCCTAATTCATTAGACTTAATAGGTTTGGTCACGGTGAAATTTTTGAAGCAACCAAAGTTTACAGTTGAGCCTAAAACAATTATAACTCAACAATCATTCAATGTCCAAGCCGTTCATAAGCCAATATGAGATTTTCCCTTTTTGTTTATTTGTGCACTCAAAATAATGGTATGGTACTACATCTAGTTTCCCTCAATCTATCCTACTTCCATCCATGCAGGCATGCATCCATCCATCCATGCAGGCATTCATCCATCCACCCCGTCTAGCACGCCCCTGGGGGCACACAGACCCCGTCTAGCACGCCCCT